CAACCAAACAAGAAGTTAATAGCCACCATATAAACATAACATTCCTTATAACTTTTTCTGTGTTAAATAAATTTATAACAAAACTCTTCCTTGCCCAAGTCTACGTGTCAACACCTTATTTTGAATCTCTGCTCAAAGACAGTAAAAATCTATTGGCCCCTGCCTATCCGTATAAAGTTGACGGTTTCTGTACAGTGACTCCTTGGTTTGCTAGTACTCCAAAAGCTACACACGGAAGCTACAATTTACATCCAGTGTGTTCCCTGCCTCGCCTCCTCTCATGTCTGAACTCCAAATGCTACCTATACTCATCTCCGCACTCCCTGTAGCATAATGAGACTGTCAAAGCTTTCGTCTATGAATTTTAGGTGACCCCAGAACCAGCAGAAGATGTGTTGAGACTAAACTTGGGTTGCTCACTCTGGCTCTCGCACATCAGCAACTACCTTAAAAGGAGAACTATGGGGTTAAGGCTTTTCCCCATAGTTCTCCTTAGGGTAACGGGAGGACACAAACTCAGCGTTGGCGTATCGGAGCGGGGAATCCAGCCCCACCCTCCGTGACAGGATCGAGAGGTGAGCGAACGCCGGTATGTGTTCGCTCACCTCCCGATCTACTGAGCCGACCTGTGACAGTCTCATTGTCACAGGTCGGCTAGAACTATGAGGTGAGTGAAAAGCAATCACCTCATACTTCTCCTTTGAGCCCGATTTGAACTTTCAGGATGATGAAGACAGTACATAAAGGCTACAGGTAATCAAACCTAGTGTTTTTTTCTTCCTTCTTTGCAGATCCATTCACTTTATTAGGTACACCTACCTAATGCAAAAACCAAACAGCAAGTCGGTCTGCTGTGCAGTACATAAAAGCATGCCGACGCGCCAAGAGGTTGACTTGAGTTGATGTGTAACTTAAGAAACTCAGAAACTGCGGACCTCTAGGGATTTTGAAGCAATGCAATCTCTGAGGGATGGTGGGGAAAATCAAGCGATGTAGATTGGCGGGTGAGAACAAAAGGAGAAAAGAAGTCCACAGCCAAGCCCTCTTTACAACGAGAGCTATAAGGAGGTGTTGTGCAACCTCCTTCAACATGTTGGGCAATCTCTTTGTGCTAAATGTCTGTAAAATTGTTAAATGCTTCAATTAAAAACTATTTAAGAGACTAAACATAACCCAGTTGGGTTTAGATTTACTTAAAATTACAGTGGACATGGCATCACCAAAACGAGACAATGGTAAATTGGGAAGACATTGTCTGGTCTGGTGGACTTTGTCAGGTCTGGTGGACTTTGTCAGGTCTGGTGGGCGTTGCCCTGTCTGGTGGACATTGCCCTGTCTGGTGGACATTGCCCTGTCTGGTGGACGTTGCCCTGTCTGGTGGACGTTGCCCTGTCTGGTGGACATTGCCCTGTCTGGTGGGCAATGTCCCATCTGGTGGGCAAGGTCCCATCTGGTGGGCGTTGCCCTGTCTGGTGGACATTGCCCTGTCTGGTGGGCAATGTCCCATCTGGTGGGCATTGCTGCAGTATGCAGATAGTAGAGTAAAAATTTGGTGTAGAGCACAAAGGACTAAGGAATGTAGACAACTCAGGCCTGCATCAACATTTAAGGCCGGTTTCAGGCATAATGGTGGCACACATGTTCCTTTAGCACACACCATAAGCCCTTTAATACCATCTAAGCATCCTTTTCATAGTCTCCCTTAGTACTGACCATGTGCACCTTATTGAGGTTTACAAGATAGGTGTACCCACAAAAGTGCCAATAAAGTGCCCAAGTTTAGGAGCAGTGATAAGTAGCTTCAGTAAGCACCAACCCATGTGGCGCAGGGCCCTATCCATTCTGGAGGTATGCAACCTAGAAGTCAGTTTTTCATCCTGAACCATCTTTTAGGCATGGTGAAGAAAATAGGCTCTGACTAGTCTGCCCTCCGGTCCTATTGGCTTTGCCCTCCCCAGTTTATTTCTAATAAGAAATTGCAACGCTTGCTTATGTTAATTTGCACAATTCACATTTAAAGGATTAGTCCACCCAAAAAGGTATAGCTCTGTGCTCAGTATATGTTAATGTGTTCTACCCCTGTCTGCCCCCTACTGTCTTTTTAAAGATCTCAGTACCCAATGGGGTAATTCTCCCTGTCTCATGCCTCTGCATATTTGAAACAGGGTTGTTCTTCTTAGATGTGTAGTCATGCTCCCCTGGCTGGATTCTTCATAGGAAGATATGAAGGAGACATATCTATGTTAGAGTCTCAGGGTGAGAATCATAGCGGTATCACATGTTTTTATATATATATATATTATATTCATTATGTAAGAGCTTCCAAAGCATCCTACAAAACTTTAAAGCCACAAGGCATAGGAGGTGGGCAGAGATTACCTATGGATCTAGCAGTTAGTGATCTCCAGTGATTACATAAGTGCACTGCAGCATAGAAATCAATACTCTATCAATGAATACCTTAAATTGCACATGTATATGGAATAACTGCCTTCTTTGTTGTTCTCAGTCCTTGCCTGCAGTTACAGTGCAGGCATAGCTATTCTCAATGTAAACAAAGCACTGTTTACATTCTCCTGAAGCTTTGATAACAGCTATCAAAACACAGGGAAAGAAAAGACAGGTAGGAGGTCATGTTTGAAACATTTCTTGAAATCCACGGGACAGATTTCCCTGCACGCTCTGTTCAAATAGCGACCTTTCTAGTGATAGAAATGCTATTTGTCTTCATCGCAATCTTATAGAATCCCCAAGTTTATCTACATTCAGCTTATCCAAATGTATTTTTCCAAATGTTTTTACTGCCCTTTTAAACTGTCACGTAAGCCGGCAGCTTGGGAACTAAGTGCAGAGATCAGTGAAACTCTCCAGCATTTACCTAACAGCAAAATATCCATTTTGGGTGGACTGGCCCTTTAAGGAGTTAGCGAACAACTTGATCTGCCAGCACCCACCCCAAACCGAGTTATTGTTTTTAAAGAGAACCTCCCCTTCAAATTAACTCCCTCCCTGGAAAGCCACCTGCATCCTCCCGGCATGGCTCAGCATATGCTTATTCAAGATGTGATTGGATGCAAAGAGCTGGCCACACTCAGGACAAGGCAGAGGTCTCTGCGGCAAGTGGATCTTCTCATGGCGGACCAGGTCTGACTTCTTGATGAACCTCTTGCCACACTGCGAGCAGGGGAAAGGCTTGACGCCCGTGTGGATGCGCCTGTGCATGAAAATGTTGGACACGCTGGTAAAGCGTTTGCCGCAGTCCGGGCACGCGAACGGCCTCTCCCCGGTATGTATGCGCTCGTGCCTGACCAGGTCCGGCTTCCGCGAAAAGCTCTTCCCGCAATGGGAGCAGGAGAAGGGCCGCTCGCCTGTGTGGATGCGCTCGTGGATGACGAGGTAGGAGGCGCTGGCGAAACACTTGCCACACCCCGAGCACACGTGGGGCTTGCGACCGCGGCACAGCAGCTGGTGTTTAGCCAGGTTGCTGCTGTTCGAGAACGACCTTTTGCAATCCGGGCAGTTGTACATTGGCGGCGTGGCGTAACCGAGCTCGCTGTTAAAGTTCTCGCCATACTTCGCGTAGTTCAGCAAAGTCTGGCTTGTGCTTAATTTTTCGGAACTAATCGAGTCCTTGCTATCCTCTTCTATGCAAACATCCACAAACGCCTCCTGGGCCTGTTCTTGTGGCTGATAACCCTCCACACTGTCCGCCTCTTCACGTTCCATCTTTATGTGGGTGGCACCAAAATTGACATGCAAGTTGTTGCTGCGGCTCGCTAGTGCCCCACCCGCTGTACCCTCCTGTATATGTTTCACAGGTAGGTATATTTCTTGAAACGAGAGGCTTTCCTCTTCCCACGTAACCAGTTCCTGCTTGATACTGGTTAACTCATCTTGAGTGAAGTCTGCGGGGGTAAAGACATTGCTGAAAATGACGTTCTTGGCTTCCTCTGAGGTTTGGGTGGGCCTGTACGGCCCTGGCCTGCCGTCGGAGGCCGCATATATGTCCATGTGGGTGACACTTCCCTCCGGGCATAAAGAAGGAACCTCGATGATACAGTCTGATGGGTATTCAATCTCGGTGTGATTTAGGGCCGTATGACTTTTCTTGTAGGAGGAGACACAACTTGGGTGCCACACAGACTGACGGTCATTAACCTCCGCAGATTTCTGAGCCGTTGACGCATGAGAATGACTTCTAACCATGTTGCCTTCCATCTCGCTTTCGGGTTCGATGGTCATCAGGCAGTCGTCGTCGTCGTCATCAGAGCAATTTGGTTCGTCAAGAGGTTCCGGCATTTCCGTTATAGGATCTTCAGCCGTGGAGTAAATGACATCATCGTCTTCACAGAAAGGAGACCCTTCCCGGTTGTGGTCAAGTTCCGTCTGCGTGTATTGTGTACACTTGGGTGCGGTAGTTGCCTCATGCTGACCCAAGTTTGGCGCCTCTGCAAGTTTATCGGCACGGTTTTTTGTCTTCGGCTTACACAGGCCTGAGATTGGATGTTTGCTAAAGCATACTGTGTGCGTTTTAAGGTCATCTGACTTATCTGGAAACAAATGGAGAGAAATTAGGATTAGAAGAAAAAAAAAACGTGTCAATTTCCACCTAAACTAAAGTTCTACCTATTATGTTTTAAGTCACTTTTTTTTTTCGTTTGTATGTTTTAAGCTGATGTTTTATTATTGTTTTTCTTTCTATTACTTTAAAAACAGTCTTTTTCCCCCAAATAAACTATTAATAAAAGGGTGCACCCTTGACATAGGATTCACAAGGCGTTTTGGGTTTTCTGGTCGGTGAGTATAGCTGCTTGCTTTCAGGCTCCTTCTCTCTAATTGAATTGTTGCACTGAGTCACAGAGAAAGGGGAGGAGTGAAATGAGAGGGGGGATTCATTGCTCGGACTACAGATGTAGTTGTCAAATTTCAGCTTTTTTGGCTTTTTACACCAAAGTAGATAAGTGGAGCCTTGTAACGATGTGTTAAAGGAGAACTATGGGGTTAAGGTTTTTCCCCATAGATCTCCTTAGGGTAACGGGAGGACACAAACTAGCGTCCTCCCGTCACCCTAGGCTCAGTATACCGCGAGCTGCAGCTCGCGGTATACTGAGACGCCGCAGTATACCACGAGCTGCTGCTCGCGGTATACTAAGACGCCGCAGCTGAAGCGGATCCCGACAATTGTGCCGGGATCCGCCCAGCTGCGTGATTGACAGCTGGCTCTGCCTATCTAGAGGCAGAGCCAGCTGTACCCGCCCCCTCCCCCGTCCGCTGGCGGATCGGAGCAGGGAGGGGGGAATCCAGCCCCTCCCCTGTCATGGCAGAGAGCCGTGACAGGATGGAGAAGTATGCGAGCGCCGGTATGTGTTCGCTCACCTCCCGATCTACTGAGCCGACCTGTGACAGTCTCATTGTCACAGGTCGGCTAGAACTATGAGGTGAGTGAAAAGCACTCCCCTCATAGTTCTCCTTTAAGTATCCAAGAGCCCAACCTGATGGTGAAAATGAGAATATAAAGTATCCGTAGGCAATATTCGAAATGTATCTCGCTTTCTCAAGTTTAGGATTCTGAGTAACTCTTAGCTTACCTCGAGGGGTGAAAAGCTTTGGATTTTCCACCACCACGTCCTCATAAAGATCCCGGTGTCCTTCTAGATACTCCCACTCCTCCATGGAGAAATAGACAGTGACATCCTGATACCTTATAGGAACCTGACACACACAATGATACAGTCACCATATAGAGCCACATGGGATAAGCTCAACTTTGGGTCTATCACACACCTTTCAGTGCTCCTTCCCCCAAACCAACCCCTTTCCCCTAACCCTCAGAGACCCCCCCCCCTTCCAGCAGTATATTATATACTTTTGAATTTTATACCATTTTAAGTTCCTCAGGCTAGTCACATGAAGCGCAGACTTATCTTCCGGGAGAGGAAATTCTTCAGTGATGCAAAGAGTGGTACTGCCACATTAACATCAGTAGCACCCTCTGCACCATTACAAAGTAAATGTAGGGTGCTGCGGTCACACGTTTATGGAGGGGTGGGCACATGAAGCTCTGTACACCCAGGATTTCCTCAGTCTTCTTTGTTGAATGATTCAACCTGTAAGACTGAGGACATCTTGTGGTAAAAACTAAGAACTGAGCGGGAAAGCTCTTAAATAAGTAATCCAGGCAAAGAGAAAAAAAAACGTACCCGTGCAGTGGAGCTATCTTCACACTCGATTTGTCTAGGGGACTCAATAAAGTTTTTTGACTTAGCTGATCCTGGCTCCCACGGCGGTCAGCGCTCACCTCTCTTTATTTCCATTCCCTTGGAGTCCCCAGGTCTAATGCAAGTCCATGGACCTGCATAAGACGTGATGACATCATGGGCCCTTAGACCACCGAAGTCTGGGGGAGAAGAGGCTGCGGGGAACGGTCTAGAATCCTGGAGGGAGCCAGTAAGACCAAAGATCAGCTAAGTGACAACAGCTTTAAAGGAGAAGTATGAGGTGAGTGCTTTTCACTCACCTCATAGTTCTAGCCGACCTGTGACAATGAGACTGTCACAGGTCGGCTCAGTAGATCGGGAGGTGAGCGAACAGATACCGGCGTTCGCTCACCTCTCGATCCTGTCACGGCTCTCTGCCGTGACAGGGGAGGGGCTGGATTCCCCCCTCCCCGCTCCGCCAGCGCTGACTGGCGGAACGGACGGGGGAGGGGGCGGGGTACAGCTGGCTCTGCCTCTAGATAGGCAGAGCCAGCTGTCAGTCACGCAGCTGGGCGGATCCCGGCATAATTGTCGGGATCCGCTTCAGCTGCGGCGTCTCAGTATACCGCGAGCTACAGCTCCCTATATACTGAGCTTACTGTGACGGGAGGATGCTAGTTTGTGTCCTCCCGTTACCCTAAGGAGAACTATGGGGAAAAGCCTTAACCCCATAGTTCTCCTTTAATAGTGTCCCCTAGACAAAATGAGCACTTATCCCTTGCAGCGCGGGTGTAGCTCCACTACAAGGGTATGTTTTTTGTTTGCCTGGGGCACTTCTTTAAAGAAAACCTGTCATGACAGAAACATGGAAGCCATTACTGATCCCCCCTTCTGAAAATGCTATCTGGCTGGCCTCCCAGGGGCATATGGCTAAATTCCCTGAACCAAAATACTGCCTATTAGCCTCTTTATAAAGTGTTCGCCCAGCGTGTATCTGTGCAAACATCATGCGCAGGTCATTACTGCCAGTAGATGGAGCCGAGGAGCAAAGGAATGTCCTATGTTCCTTGGCGCCATCTTGTGGCAGAAATACTGCGCAAACATCATTTGCCCAGATACACGCTGGATGAATGCTTTATAAATCAGGCGCTATAGGAATGGATTTTATTTTATTTTTTTAAGGGTGAACGGAGCATTTTTTGGCTAACAATTGATTTGGCAGCGAAATAACGGACACCACTTTCTCTGAAATCAGCCGCAAATATAGCCATGATGAAATTTGCTTGTCGGGGACAGCGCTGGAGACAATGTCAGGGACACCGCTGGGGACAATGTCATGGACAGCGTTCCTCTATTCCTCAATATCTCACCTTCCTTGCTAACAAGGGGCCGTATTTCAGATGTGGCCTTACAAGCGATATACACAAGGACAATACTATAATAGCAGCATGTGCTTACATCTCTTTGTCCGCCACCTACTTGACATCCCTTATATTACTGTACTGGAAAATGTCCCAGAATTCCCGGTACCGCTCACCTCTCCTGTCAGCAGCTCAATGATCTTGTTGGTGACTTCTAGAATCTTCTTAGAGTTGATCCTTGTGGACCGCCCGGGCAAGTGAGGGTGGCTGCCGGGTGTCACTTGTGAGCTGGACTTATTAACAACAGTATAACCCTAGAGAAACATTATTATATTATTTTATTATATAGCAGAGCAATTAAAAATGTAAGCGATATTTTTCTATAGAAAATAGATCTCTAACCAAAACATGTTTCCTAGCGTTGAATAGAATCAGGATGGGTTGGGCCTTCAAAAGAGGAAGTGAGGGGAGTCTCCAATTGGGACACCTATTCCAGTGACAATCCAATGGGGACACCTGTTCCAGTGACAACTGTCCGAGAGAGGACTGCTTTATGGGCAGCGGATCTAACTGTTCCCAATGTTTTCCCTTTAAATTTGGATCGTGTGTGGAAAGGTCAGAACCGCTCTCAGGTTTGTTTGGCTCTCTGACCCCTCTCCGAGATGAGTAAGGTCACCTCTCCAATCAGGTTAATAGAGATAAGAACGATGTCATGTGACCTCCCAGAATCCTCCTCACCTCTCCGGTCTATGTTTTATTAATAGAGATGAGTGATGTCATGTGACCCTCCCAGAATTCTCCTCACATCTCTGGTCAGGTCTGTGTATTATTACTAGAGATAAGAGAGATGTCATGTGACCTCCCAGAATCCTCCTCACCTCTGCGGTCAGCTCTGTGTATTATTAATAGAGATAATAGTGGTGTCATGTGACCTCCCAGAATCCTCCTCACCTCTCCGGTCTGTGTTTTATTAATAGAGATGAGTAATGTCATGTGACCACCCAGAATCCTCCTCACCTCTGCAGTCAGCTCTGTGTATTATTAATAGAGATAAGTGTGATGTAATTTGACCTCCCAGAATCCTCCTTACCTCTCCGGTCGGGTCTGAGTTTTATTAATTGCTGGTCTGGGGCAGCTCACAGACCAGTAACTACTAGACACAGTGACCTCTACAGTCAGGTCTGTGTTTTATTAAGAGAGTGATGTAATTTGAACTCCCAGAATCCTCCTCACCTCTCCGGTCAGGTCTGTGTTTTATTACTAGAGATAAGAGTGATGTCATGTGACCTCCCAGACTCCTCCTCACCTCTCCGGTCAGGTCTGCGTTTTATTACTAGAGATAAGAGTGATGTCATGTGACCTCCCAGAATCCTCCTCACCTCTCCAGTCAGCAGGTAGATGATCTCCAAGGTGAGGCTTAATATCCTCTCAGTCACGTGACTCTTGTCCATTGTAAGTGAACAACTAGGCAACTTTGAGCCGGTCCAATTGTTCTGTTTGTGCGGCAGCGGAATGTCTTGCTGATGGGCAACAGAAACCTAAGTTGGAACAATTGCATTTCACTTAATATAATCAGTCTCAGTTTTTTCCTTAAAGTGGAGCTTTACCCCAATTTTTAAAATGACAAACAATCACACCCTTAGAAAGGTTTAGTGATAACAATCTACAAACACAGACTTCTAGATAATTGCCGGCTTTGTATTCTTTGCATTCCTTATTTCTCTTTTCTTCCCCAGTCTTCTGGCAGTGGCCATGTTTACTAAGGGCAGATTACTAGCTCTCCTTTTACTTCCTGGATTTCTGGCACATGTGACTACGACATGTGACCATGCACATCATTTCAGGGGAGGAAACCGCCTTTCCCTGAGATCTCGTGAGATTACAGATGAGATTTCCCAGCACTGCTCTGCTGATGACAAGGCAATCCCAGTGTGCATTGCTTTGCCAAACTGAAGTCATTTTGCCGTTTCAAAGCAGGAAGTGAACGCTCTGCAAGTGTAAGTATTTCACAATCACAGCATTTTACATCTGACATGTCTATGTTATTATTAATCATCATACTTAGGAGGGATGCATTAATAGAATTTGATTTTTGAGTGTAAAGGTCCGCTTTAAAAGACACCATATTGCTTTAAAATGAGTAGATGCTAAAATTACTTAAAGCACCAGTCCACCCACAAGGGATGTTATAGTTGGAGCTCCATGACCTGACTCAGCCTTTGGTTTCTAATGTGTCTAGGATACTCCGCAAGATCTCCATTCCATAATTCCTCACTCTTGTTCTTGTTCACCGGGGAGTTTTGGGTGTTCCCATCTACCGCTCCAGATCCTCTTGTTACATTCTCCATAATATAAAATAAGTACGAATACAGAAAGGATGGTGACAACCCCTCGTAATGGGCACAGCAGGTGAACAGGGCTGGGAACTTTATCAATAGAGTGCCAGAAAGATAGAAGAGATGGTCAGGGGGTTTAAACTTTTTAGCATCTACCAAAACAGCCATTGTGAAAAAAAAAAGTGCTCGCTGTGCTGTGTGCCTACAGGGGTGGACAAATAATTATGACATTCGGGAGCCAGGGCTATTTTTAAGAGCCACCTCCATTGACAGGTGAAAACCTCAAAAGTTAGGCACCAGCTAAAGTTTTAAAGGAACATTGGTGACCTGGCACCTGGAAATTGTCCAGCCCTGTTCTATTCATATGGGTCACTCTCTTTTGGATTGTTAGGGTCATCTTGAGTAGGGATTAGCTCAGGTGTGGACTGAACACGGTCCTCCAAACCAAGAACTTCCATGGGCCATCTACCCAATCAACTGTGGGCTGGGACATTCCCCACCCCATGGCTGCACATAAACAAAGGGTTGGGATGTTTGTGCTAAGATCATTGACCTCATATGGCCACATTACATCAATTTCATTGACCAAATGTAGCCATGTGGTCAATAAGGGTGGTCTATAAGGTCAATGACGTCACTGCATCCCGTCCCTTTGCTTACGATTGGGCAGACAGCAGAAGGAGCTTCATCTCTGTGTTCTGAGGAGCTCTTTCTATTTTTGGGAATTCATAAAATACACTTTTGGACTCTCAGTACATGGGTTTGGTGCCCTTTCTGGTTCAACTACATATAGACTTCCCTAATTGGGCAACACCTATCTCAGAGAGCACCCCAGCTTTGTGGAGAGCTGCCGAACCGGCCATTTTGTGTTCAAATAAAGACTTCTTACCTACATACTAAGGATCTGTGCGTCAAGCCCGAATAAGAATGGAGTGAGCAGCACTCATGTGCAGTAGGCCCAGAGCCAAGATGGACCCTTTTTTTAAGTGTAAAATCTGTGTGGCACCAGGAAGGGGCGCAGAGATTTTCTAGAGGGGCCAAAAGTATTTAGCTATACGGGAATGTTTTAAAGCATAGCTTCACAGAAAGTGAAGTTGTCCTTTAATAAAGACATGTCTGTGTAGGTAATTTCTCCAGGTCATGATATACACTATATTGCCAAAAGTATTGGGACCCCTGCTTTTACACGCACATGAACTTTAATGGCATCCCAGTCTTAGTCCGTAGGGTTCAATATTGAGTTGGCTCCGCCCTTTGCCGCTATAACAGCTTAAACTCTTCTGGGAAGGCGTCCACAAGGTTTAGGAGGGTGTCTATGGGAATGTTGGACCATTTGTGAGGTCAGGTACTGATATTGGAGGAGAAGGCCGGGCTCACAGTCTCCGCTCTAATTCATCCCAAAGGTGTTCTATCGGGTTGAGGTCAGGACTCTGTGCAGGCCAGTCAAGTTCCTCCACCCCAAACTCACTCATCCATGTCTTTATGGACCTTGCTTTATGCACTGGTGCGCAGTCATGTTGGAACAGGAAGAGTCCATCCCTAAGCTGTTCCCACAAAGTTGGAAGCATGAAATTGTCCAAAATGTCTTGGTATGCCGATTCCTTAAGAGTTCCCTTCACTGGAACTAAGGGGCCAAGCCCAACCCCTGAAAAACAACCCCACACCATCTTCCCCCCTCCACCAAACTTTACACTTGACACAATGCAGTCAGGCAAGTACTGTTCTCCTGGCAACCGCCAAACCCAGACACGTCGGATTGCCAGACAGATAAGTGTGATTTGTCACTCCAGAGAACACGTCTCCACTTCTCTAGAGTCCAGTGGCGGCGTGCCTTACCCCACGGCATCCCACGCTTTGCATTGCACTTGGTGATGTAAGGCTTGGATGCAGCTTCTCAGCCATGGAAACCCATTCCATGAAGCTTTCTACGCACTGTTGTTGTGCCAATCTGAAGGCCACACCAAGTTTGGATGTCTGTAGCTATTGACTCTGCAGACAGTTGGTGACTTCTGCGCACTTCAGCATGCGCTGACCCGCTCTGTCATTTTACGTGGCCGACCACTTCGTGGCTGAGTTGCTGTTGTTCCCAGTTGCTTCCACTTTGTTATAATACCAGTAACAGGTGACCGCGGAATAAGAAGTAGCCAGGAAATGTCACGGATAGATTTATTGCGCAGGTGACAACCTATCACGGTACCACGCTTGTAGTCACTGTGCTCCTGAGAGCGACCCGTTCATTCACCAATGTTTGTAGAAGTGTCTGCATGCCGAGGTGCGTGATTTTATACACCTGTGGCCATGGAGGTGATTGGAACACCTGAATCCAATGATTTGGAAGGCTGTCCCAATACTTTTGGCAATATAGTGTAGCTCATAGTAGTCAACAGGACTCAGCTCTGAGGAAATGACTTGTATCGGGTGCAAAGTGTCTTCAACATTGGAGAACAAGTCCAGTTGGGTGCGACTACTACAAGGTATACTTCTTTAATCCTTACAAAGACAGAAGACCTAAAATGTACTCCTGGTGTCCAACACCCAAAAGAATTACAGATCAGGGCTGGTAGTCCATAGGAGAATTACATACGTGGCCTAATTTCCTAGCTGGTCATCCCAGCATAGAATGTCACGGTCACCCCAGGAGTACATTTTAGGTCTTCTGTAACTGCAACAATTGGAAAAGTATACCAAGTAGTAGTATTAGTCACGCTCAACTAGACTTGTTCTCCATTGTTGAAGATGTTTTACTTCTGATCCAAGTAGCTTCCTGAGAGCTGATAAAACCAACCACATGGAGAAGTTTCTATAGTCCTACCCTAGGGTAACAACGCTGCTTCCGTATACATACAGTACAGAGAAGGAGCGTTGTCACCCTAAGACAGGAAGAGTGTTACTGGCCGGATCACCGGAGGACAATAACGGGAAATAAGCAAGAAAACGAATGCAGCCAACACATCTCAGAACTACCGTAGTAAGCTGCAATATTTAACATTTCTGTCCTTGGGTTTAGATACACGGATATCTCAGTGTATGGTGGACGCTAGCGACCCCTCAACAGTTTCTTCTGTCTTTCAGGAACACCATTGGGCTCTCCAGTCTGCCGTCATTACTGGGAAGTCTCACTCATTTTCTATTATGGATAATGCAACAGCAGGAACAAGAAAGCTTTAAGGTGAACAGGAACAGAGCTGGGATGTCTCGCCACTGGAGTCTAATACGGTGTTTCCCCCGAAAATAAGACACTGTCTTATATCCCCCCCAATAAAAAAACACTAAATTTTATTTTCAGGGAATGTCTTATTTAAAAAAAAAATGTTTTAATGTCAGAAGTTCCCTCAGTGACTGAGGCTCAGTCACCTCACCTCACTCCGACCCCACTGGCCATGCAGCGCTGTGCCGCTGCCTGCTCGGAAATGTAGTTTTCTGCCGGGCGGCAAAAGCCGAGGCAGACAGGTGTCTGCTGATTTCGTGACACGGGCGCTGCGGCGTGGCGGTTAGTCCCCGCCGTGTACTCTGGTTACTCTCTGGGCTGCCCCCACCCCCAAATGACAGAATACCAGGGCCCTGGCTGCGCCCCCTCCCAACCTCGCGGTGATTCCTTTTTCATTGACTAACGGCATGAAATGTTTTGCGGTCCTTGACCGCCCACAGAGTGAGTTTTATACATGCAGACTCCAGGAGACCAGCTGCTCATATAATTGTACGTGACTCCCGGACCCCTGGCTGGCTGCTTGGATGACGCAAAGCATGTGCGCCCCCTCCCAGCCTCGCCCCGCCCGTCCTACGGCCCTGCCAGCGGTGCAGACAGTGGAAGTACATGCTACCGTACCACCAAACTAGGTCTTATTTTCGGGGTAGGTCTTATATTACAGGAATCTCTAAAGATAGCGCTAGGTCTTACTTTCGGGGAAACACGGTAGATATAAGGTAGGTGACGCGGCCCCGACCAAACCCCCAAAACTGAAATGTTACGTTTACATGGGTGAAATCCTTTGAATAGAATTAATGCTGAACTCCGGGATAAGTCTAGATAAAATAGTTGTGTATTCTTCCTTAAATTTTGAAGGGTTTTGTGTATTTCTTCCAGATCTGTGCAGTAATCCAGTGTGATACTTCCTGTAATAAAGACTCTCCTTGTGCAGGGTGACTGGTCTTATATCCGCCCCCTCCTGTAATACAGACCGGTCACTGCTGCTCTCTCTTCCTGCACAGTGTGACAGGTCTTGTATCCGCCCCCTCCTGTTCTGTAGCCTGTAGTGGGTGGATCCCTCCCCACAGCTCTGCTCTCAACACAGCGATGATGTCACCGCTACTTTTTCAAGGTAGTATCTAGGATGGCAAGGGCATTTGGGGCACACAAAGTGTATTTATAGCCTTTGTGGCTATTGAGGAACGTATTCAAATAAAGCTTTTTGTGCCCAGAGTTCAGCTTGAATTGAATAACGTCTAGTAAGTACAACAGATGCCCACTGAACCATGAGACTCTGTATTTCAGAATGCATTTCCTGTTTGCAGTTTGATCACAATGCCTTCTGTCTTATATAGCCCCCTCAGAATTCCCACAGGCAGAAATGATTGACAGATGAGGATACAGCACCAAACAATGCTTACCTTCCAAGCATGAATCAGATAATAGGCACAGCATATATGGGAAATACAACCACCTCCATAACACTGCAAGCAATCACCCTTAAACAGCACCCTGGAAGTGATCTTACCCCAGCAGAGGATTCTGGGACTTGTAGTACATTGGCTTCCACTTCCTGACACCCAAAGAGACAAAACACCACAATTCGCTAACTATTGAGGTAAATAATATAACTACAGATAATATTAAAACAGGACCGACGAAAGTCAGCTATTTTTCCTCCTTATAAATCGATTAAATACTATTCAGCCATTCTGTCCTTACTATAGGATTCATTTTTCTGTGGCTCAATTGCCTTATTATGAATGGAACATTGGCTTCAAGAAAATGGCGCTTACCTCAGACTACGATATCGAGGTTTGGAGACATTTTTCTCATAGCTTTCTATACAGTGTCGCGCTTCTTCCTTTTCAGCATTATTATTTAAAACGTCAAAATGGTTTTCTGTGGGGCCTGGGTACTTTCATTCAGGCACTATAAAGCTGAGTAAATATTACAATATTTATAAAGCATATCATTTGAAATAAATAAATCCTAAGATTTCAGATATTGCTTTCATTTCCCACTTTTGATAAACGTAAGCTCCTTTGGACCTCTCCATTGCTTCATGTTAGCTGAAAAATGATAGAAAGGCCTACGCCAAAATGGCGCTGGATCTTCTTCAGCGGAGACACAGCAGAACAAGGAGGGTTTTCCTTCTCTCCGTAGACTTTGCGCCTCCCCGTGAGACTTGACCAGACTCGGGTCTTCAGGAAAATGGCCGAATAGGAACTCTGTTTACTTCTTTAAATGGGAATCCCTGGCTTAGCTGCTAGAGTTGAGATGATTTGGCCTCTAGCGTTTACTATTGGATATCAATGAGAACGAGGCTCGAGACGCAGACAGGAAGTTTATTCCAAACTAATATCCGGTGTGTAAGTTATGTCAAAGCAGGAGCTGTCCCACTGCTGGCTTCAATGTCTTCTTCTCCGACCTGAGGCTGGGAAACATTGTATGTAGGTGAGATGGGGAGACACATCTGCTATCTGTAGTGGCTGAGCCTGTGGGCAAGGCTCAGCTGGGCTCATGGCTGCCAGGAATATTAAATGCCCATTGTGTCAGGGGCAGAGGTGATCCTTCCTGCCTTCTCTTTGGAAGGATATTACACGGGGGAGGGGCAAATCAATTGAATGTACTATTTTTGTATGTGGATCTGATATTCTATAACCTGATTGTTGCTTTGTGTATTCCAAGTTCGGGGAGCTGTTTATTTTTGTCTCTGGTATAGGGGCCTATGTCTAGCAATCCTTGGCATCCCTCCGGGTCGCACTTCGCCCCCCGTTTGCATAGGTCACTTTTTCAGTTATTTATATGATCCAGAAACGATTCGTAAGCATCATCTTTAATTCTGAACATGAACTTGGTATTTAATTCCTACTAAGGATACCAATAATATTAATAACAACCTATTGATCCTGCCAGAAACCCAGTGGTGTCCTTTGCACTCTGCATTGAGATCTCAAACAATGTTAGGACAACAGAATAACGCCCCTCTAGAGGTGAGAAGGGGGGGGGGGGGGTCTTCTATCGTCCTGTCGTAGGGCATGGATGAGTGAACTAATATGGGATTCAGTCTGTCCATTGACAAAGCTAGAGAAAACCTCAAAAGTTTGGCTCCAACTGTAATTTGGCTATCTGGCTCCCGAGATTTGTCTAGTCTTCTCCTAGGGTGACAACACTGCTTATTCATGGAAACAGTAGGGTGATGTCTTCTTATCTTGTCATAACTTTGCCCTCTTTCCCTCCCGTAGCCGTCATCCGCCCTCTCCCCTCCCGTAGCCGTGTCATCCGCCCTCTCCCCTCCCGTAGCCGTGTCATCCGCCCTCTCCCCTCCCGTAGCCGTGTCATCCGCCCTCTCCCCTCCCGTAGCCGTGTCATCCGCCCTCTCCCCTCCCGTAGCCGTGTCATCCGCCCTCTCCCCTCCCGTAGCCGTGTCATCCGCCCTCTCCCCTCCCGTAGCCGTGTCATCCGCCCTCTCCCCTCCCGTAGCCGTGTCATCCGCCCTCTCCCCTCCCGTAGCCGTGTCATCCGCCCTCTCCCCTCCCGTAGCCGTGTCATCCGCCCTCTCCCCTCCCGTAGCCGTGTCATCCGCCCTCTCCCCTCCCGTAGCCGTGTCATCCGCCCTCTCCCCTCCCGTAGCCGTGTCATCCGCCCTCTCCCCTCCCGTCGCCGTGTCTTCCGCCCTCTCCATATTTTCTGTGTAAAATACGCAGAAACACATTGCCGGGACGCATCTCGGGTCCATTCTGTTTTTGCGCATCTTTACGCAGTGCAAATATATGGCTCCATACGCAGCGTATTGTACGGCAGTGTTGCAAGAAACTCTATTTTTCAGGAATGTCAATTTTGCTGCTATTTATAAAAGTTTTTTTGTGTGGTTCAAAATGGAAATGTATCTGCAGTTTTGTTGTTATGAAAGTGTTTTTTCTCAGTAGATGGGGTTTGGCCAATTTCAATGTGCTTTCAAGTTTGATATTATTTTGTATTTAACAATTTAAAAATCGATTTTATGTAATTTTTTTTTTTTTTTTTACAGTAATCTCATAGAGTATTGACCTGTTTATGGCTGGCCCCAGAAATAAGAACTACTTCAAATATTTACATGTATTTATTTTTATGTTTTTTGGTTTAATTAAATTGAACATAGTATATCTAAAGCAGACCTTCTGTCTTTAATCGCATTGGTTGTTTGTAGAAATCTTCTTGAAGTTGTTTCACGTTGAACCCCCGCCTTACAGAGTCCCTGAAGATGGAGAAAAACAGAGATCATGTGGCTAAGAAGATATTAAAGCTTACCCTAAAGATCATCTACCTGCTGACCGGAGAGGTGAGGGAATTCTGGGAGGTCACATGACATCACTCTTATCTCTATTAATAATACACAGACCTGACCGGAGAGGTGAGGAGGATTCTGGGAGGTCACATGACATCACTCCTATCTCTAATATTAAAACACAGAGCTGACCGGAGAGGTGCAGAGGATTCTGGGGGGTCACATGACAACACTCTTATCCTTATTTATAAAACACAGACCTGACCGGAGATGTGAGGAGGATTATAGGAGGGTCACATGACATCACTCTCTTAATAAAACACAGACCTGACTGTAGAGGTCACTGTGTCTAGTAGTTACTGGTCTGTGAGCTGCCTCAGACCAGCAATTGTCTTAGCAGTCCAAGGACTAATAGGAGTGAGTTTAGAAGATTTTGAATAGTCATGCTGTCATTTACAATGGGTTAAGCAAGACAGAATATCCCATCTATCCCATCTATCCCATCTATCTATGAGCTGATATTGTTTAAATGAACCACGTCTACATACAGTATAACATTGAGCCATGTCCTCATTTTTAGGACTATGGGCCTATCCACAAACAATGCGTTTGCAACACACCCCAAAACAAAAGCCAGAGCCTCATGATGGAGCCTCCACCTCCTTCCCCAATCCCTGAGCGTAGCAATGACCAGAAAATCCTAGAAGTCACCAACAAGATCATTGAGCTGCTGACAGGAGAGGTGAGCAGTGATGGGAATTCTGGGACATTTTCCAGTAATAGAAGGAAGGTGTCTGGATGGTGACTGTATCATTGTGTGTCTCAGGTCTCTATAAGGTATGAGGATGTCACCATATTTTTCTCCATGGAGGAGTGGGAGTATTTAGAAGGACACAAGGATCTCTTCGAGGACATTGTTGTGGATGATCGGCAGCCCCTGACACCTCTTGGTAAGAATTTTGATTTCCCCCTTTCTTTCAAATACTAAAACAATAACATACACAAGACATGTATTGCTGTGTAATACATTGCTTAGGGCCAGTCTGCCCAAAACTGACCTGTCATAAACATTAACCCTTTATGTGGCTGCATAGGGTACGTGTTTGCTTTACAAAATTATGCTCTTATTTTGAATATAAAGTTTTCCGACCAAAACAAAAATGCTTCTTCGTGTGACCTAAAGCTTAGAAGAGAACTATGGGGTAAGCTTTTTACCCCATAGTTCTCTTAAGGGTCTCAGGAGGACATATACTAAAGTCCTCCTGTGACCCAAAGCTCAGTATATAGCGAGCTACAGCTCATTACATACTGAGACCGCCGCAGCCGGGACAGATCCCGACATTACTGTCTAGATCCACCCAGCTGGCTGATTGACAGCAGGTACTGCCTATCTAGAGGCAGAGGCAGCTGTGCCCGCCCCCATCTATTCCTCCAGTCAGCGCTAGATGATTGGAGGGGGAACCCTGGGGGAGCGGTGACTGATGGTCACCACTCTCTGCAGAGAGATGATTGGAAAGTGAGCGAGCGACGGTATGTGTTCGCTCACTTCCCAATCTATAGAGCCGACCTGTGACAGTTTCATTGTCACACGTCGGCTCTAACTATGAGGATGAGTAAAAATCGGTCGCCTCATAGTTCTCCTTTTAAATCACATGGTCTCCAGCTCGCAGAAACATTGTAGCTGGTAGGTTGCCAACAACCCAGCACCAGGTAGGTCTCTAAATGGGGAGATAGCACTGCAAACAAGCAGATAGTGACCTCAAACACACTTAGAATCCCCAACCATAACCCTTGTTATGGTCCAGTCACTTAAATTTTTCATCATGTGAACCCTAACAGGTAATCTAGCACCTACTGCAACCCGAAAAATAACCCACAACCCTAAAATATAAATGTCAGGGCAGTACATGCTCATTTCTTGTATTTTATCATTTTAAAGACCCTGCAGGTACAGAAAAATAGAAAGAAAATGTGTAACTTTAAAGTGTATTTTTAAGTCTGAGAATACAGTGTAAGCGATGTTTAGAATATATAGATACACTGTACAGTAATACCTTGGTTTACGAGCATAATTCGTTCCGGAAGCATGCTTGTAATCCAAAGCGCTTGTATATCAAAGCGAACTTCCCCATAGGAAATAATGGAAATTCAGATGATTCGTTCCACAACCCAAAAATATTCATATACAAATGATGACAATACTGTAATATAATACTGTACAAAATATAAAGACAAATAAAGCAATTACCGGTATACCTTTGTGGCTGGTGTGAGGGGGACAAGAGAGAGAGGAGGATTATTGTGTAGGACGACTTTCACTATCACTAACGGAATCACTGCTATCTCTTGACTCAATGGAATCTTTTTCATTTCGTGAAACCTTAACAAGGAATCTATCCAATGTGACATTGTGTTGTCGTTAAACAGACTCATCGCTCACACAGCTACAGCCTTATTCGGGTGGCGCTTTTCTACAAAATTTTGCTCTTATTGCAAGACATTTCTTTGTATATCAAGGCAAAATTTTTCAGAAATGTTTGCTTGTCTTGCAAAACGCTCTCAAACCAAGTTACTTGTAAACCAAGGTATTACTGTATGGCTAAAAGTAGGTGGACTCTTGACCATGATACCTACTATGTGGGCACCTCTCCAAATGAATGAGTTTTAAGTGTCTCCAGTGAAGGGTACTGTTAATGCTACAGCATACAAAGACATCGCAGACATTTGTGGGCTTCCAACATTGTGATAACAGTTTGGGGAGGGATTATTGTGCCCCGTACACAAAGCCAGCTCCATAAAGACATAGTTTGACGAGTTTGGTGTTTAGAAACTCAAGTGACCTTCACAGTGCTCCGACCTCAACCCTACTGAACACCTTCAAAACTAATTATAATGCAGATTGCGAGCCAGGTCGCCTCATCAAATATCTGTGCTCAACCTCACTGATGTTGTTTTGACTGAAAGGTTGGAGGGAAAGGGATGGAACAACTCCATATTATTGTTCATGGTTTTGGAGTGATATTTCCAACGAACAAGTTGGTGTCATGGTCCAGTGTCCACTAGGGATCTGCCAAAACATATCAGCCGAAAATGGCACTTATGGCATAATGCCGAAAGTGCCATTTTCTGGCCGATACAGCGGTGCATCCTATTCTCTCCACCCCCCTGGGCCCTGCTCCGTGTCCCAGCAGGAAGGAGAGAAACTCACAGGCGGCCAAGCACCGCGGGTGGAGAGCACTTTGAGTGGCCGGCGTCTCTCCTCCCTCCTGTGTCAGCGAGTCAGGAAGGAGAGCGGGTACAAACACTCAGTCATCAGTGAACGCTGAGTGTTTGTACATAATTGAGGACATGGTATGGTTACTATATCCTCAATTATGAATGAATGGGAAGTGCTCTATATCACTTCCTGTTCATTCATGATTGTGGTTATAGTAAACACACTCTGACCTCATGTAATGAATGGACAGGAACACTCATAGAGGATTTTTGTTCATTTATAACAGGGGGTGCAGAAAAAGAGTGAGGTTTTGGTTTTGACATTTTAATTTCGGTGCACCTCCTAGTGTCCACGAATTTGCAGCTGTATAGGTATGTGTGGGTATCTGTGTGCATAATACACTGTATATTTGCAGTCTGTTTTCTGAAGCAGTTCCATGATTTGCTTTTCCTAAAGGAGACTCCATTACCTGCAATACACCAGAAAGATCTCCTAGTCCTGTCTATGCACAAAATTGTTTAGAGAACGTCGTCAACGTATCGCAACAAACTGAAGTGGAAAATGGTAGTATTACCCGAGATCCTAAAGAGAAAGACGACCATGGGTCTGTAAATGAAGATTGCGGTGTATCAAAGGACTGTAGGCAGGAAACAGATCATCCTCCTAAAGGTTTAAAACACAATGTTGGCCATATCGCTAAAGATCCTAGACAGGAAGCCGGCTACGTCCAAGACGATAGCGACCAGGACGTTGATCAAATCCAAAAAGACTGTAGGAAGGAAATTGACCTAATCCGAAAAATTTGCAGGCAAGAGGTTGAGACGATGTTGAAGGATTGTAAACGGGAAATCGAACGCATCCAGGACTGCAGACAGGAAGTCAACTGCCTCCCTAGAGATTGTAAACAGGAAGCTGGCCACCTTTTAAGGGAGGGCAGACAGGAAGTCGACTGCATCCCTAGAGATTGTAAACAGGAAGTGGTCGGCATCTCCAAGGATTGCAGGCAGGAAACTGAACGTACCTCAGTGGATTGTAAATTGGAAGTTGACACCACCTTAAAGGACTGTAAACAGGAAGTTGAACATATTCCAAGAGACTGTAGGCGGGAAGTTAACGCCATGCCCAAGGACTGTAAACGAGAAGCTGAGCGAAATTTAAAGGACTGCAGATGGAACTCTGGCCATGTCCTGAAGGACTGGGAGCAAGAAGACAATGAGGTTCAGCAGTATTACGAGGTAGAATCATCTAAGAGACGGATGGGTATTGGAGAGACTGCGCTTCTTTATATTCATTCTTTCGCTTTTTTTTCCCTTCCCCAACAGGATGAGCAACTGAAAGAAGTAAAAATTGAGATCTTGTCAGATGATGAGTGGGATGATGAAGAATGGGATGAGTCATATAAGGAAGGAGAAAGTCCTATTTATATTAACACAGGTGAAAAAAAATTATAGTTTAATACCTGGACGGCCACAATCTATAGATGAACGTTCTCAGGCATGGCTCCTTGTGCTAAGACGTTAGGTGGACCATGGACGTCAGATGGACGTTAGGTGGACATTAAGGTCCATCTAAAGGCTTTTCTTCTTTAAAATCAATAAGTACCTACCGCCTTGCAAACCTTTGCAGTTACTGAAGCTGACTATACATTGAGCACACACTTGTCTAATAGAAGTTACTGTCAGGCAAAAGACTGTAGACGGGAGGTTAATGCCCATCTCCCATGAACAGTGCCTCATCCAACCAGCGAGCAAGGCGGTGAAGTTAGGTGTTGCCAACCGTTGATTGACAAGCTACAGGCTTGGAAATTTGCGTTGACAGCACTGTTGCCCATGGCCACATTATGCGCCAGTTTATATATCACCGTGGCTCCAAGGGGGAATTTGCTAGGACAGGCTGAGCTTTGCAGCCCTAATACAGGAAGTGTAAACTTGGTGGTTCTTCTGGCAAGATCAACCCGTAATTACACAGCAGTTCAGTTTTTTCCCCCCCGTTTTTTAAAGGTCTGACAGCCTTTCTGACGTTGAGGGAATATATAACATATGCGGTTTTATAGTTCTACGTTAATCTATGTTTGATTTTAGAACTAGGAGTATACACCTGTGAGCACTGCTGGTTCTGAGACTGCACTGTCACTGACAGCCGCTTGGCTACACTAAAGATTGGGGGGGATTTATCAAAACTGGAGCATAGAAAATCTGGAGCAGTGCACCATGGCAACCAATTTGCTTCTCTGCTTCATTTTCAAAGCCTAACTGAACAAAGTAAAGTGAGATGCTGATTGGTTGCCGCAGGCAACTGCTCCACATTCCGTCTGCTCCAGTTTTGATAAATTACTCTCAGGGAGTCAATCACCAAGGTTCAAAATTACCATGAATGGCAGCCCATGGTGGAGATCACATGAGGTATGTTTGCAAACCAATCTGCCTGCCTCAGCTGTCAGAGAGAAGAACACTTGACAGTTGTGCAAAAAAATAGGGCTGTGGAAATTAAAGATTAATTTCTCGATTAATCGTTAAACTTTTTGATCGATTAAAATTATTTGGTCGCTAATGAAAACACTCGCCTCTCCGCCGGCTTCCAGGAGTCCCGTCATCGATCTGGTGATGTCACGGACATCGACGTCACCGGACTCCTTCCCCAAGTGGCTCCGTCGGCTAACGAAGGGAAGGATGGAGGAGTCCGGTGACGTCGATGTCCGTGACGTCACCGGACTCCTCCCCCCCCCTTCGTTAGCCGACGGAGCCACTTGGGCCGGTGAGTTTGCCCAAGAAGCTTTCTGCACGAGCGCCAGCCAAGGCATTGTCCTATACACATACAGCACAGCAATGAAGTCATAAAATGAACTAGGATCACAGTAATCCAGCACGTTATTATTCTGAGTTGCCCCACTCGAGCGGCGGCCATATTGAGTGTGGCACGTGAGATTAATAACGTGCTGGATTAGTGTGATCCTAGTTCATTGTATTACTTCATTGCTGTGCTGTATGTGTATAGGCCAATGTAGTTGGATCTGTATGTGCGTTTATAATTAATCGAAATTAATCGATTTTAAAACAGATTCCGATTAATCGAACACGAAAATGTTTATCATTACCAGCCCTACAAAAAAAATAATCCAAAAAGCTTTTAATAGAGAATACAAAGGGAGGCCACAGAGGCCCATCTAAAGGCCAGATGACCCAAATGTCTGTGGCAACCACCAGAGGTTAGTAGGGCTGAGGGTAGCTAATCACCAGAGTTGATCGCCACGCATAGAGCTGAATACACGGGTGAAACACATATGCGAGAGCTGTTTTCACCTGCCAGAGGATTTGCGTCCATCCATTCTTGAGATTTACACGGCTCCTGTTTTCCTCTGCTGCAGTTATTTAACATTCAAAGGTCTTGTCCTTCCTCCAGCCTGTGACTGGACAGTGAAAGGAGAAGCAGCAGACTGATGACCGTTGTCATTCTGCTCTCGCCTTCCTTATTCACACAACTGACTGGCTCCTTCTGCTGCTTCTCCCTCTCCCGGCCCGAGGTCTGCAAGAGGCTCATACTAAGTCAAATTCCGATGCACATTTTACTCAGGTAGGCAAATTCCTCACAGAGATATTGTCATTGACTGACACTGCTAAGTTTACCCTGATCATGAAACGGTTGTATGGAAAATACTGAAGATAGATAAGGAAATATAATACACACTCTACTATTCTTAAATCAGACCTAGTTGGAAGAAGCTATGGAACCTTGCATAGAACTTAGTGCTTACCTGTTGACCACCACCATGGAAAGCCACCTCCATGAAGTTCCTGCACCAGTCTCTTGCCCCTTGTACCACATGCAGCCATCAGAAATGTTTGTCTGAGCCTTTTACTTCAATGGCAAATGCAGGAAAACTCTCTATTGGGCAACAAAAGCAAGGAGAGTTCCGGAGGAACTTGACACCATGCTAGCATGGAGAGGCGTCACCTTTTGAATGTGCAGGCCCGTCCTTCCTATCCTTGGTTCTCTACTGAGGTATTCAGGTCAAGATTTCCAGTGTCATCACCTGTACTTCTGTCCTGATAGGCGACCTTTAAAGGAGAACTATGAGGTGAGTGCTTTTCACTCACACCAATAACCAGTCACAGGGTGGCCATCACAGTCCCATAGAATGGCAAGGATGATTTATCATCATTCATCATCCACTGCTCATGGGAAACCAGACCACATTGATGTATGTGTAGGACACACTACATTTTATACATTACTCCTCGGTCACATGTTTGTATCCTTCCCGCAGATGAATCCAGTGGCGGAAATACACCTGAGAAAAGTACCCAAAATCTTTACATTGATTGCACAGAAGATGATTATGAGTCCTCACAGGATTATCAGGTATGATCATTAAAGTCTAAAGCCAGATCTTCTTTTTTGGATGGAGCAGGGAAGGGTTTAGACCAGGGGTCTCAAACTCAATTCCCTCGAGGGCCAATCGCCAAATTTAGTTTCTCCCATGGGGGCGGCTCGCCAAATTTCTTACTTTAACTATATGCAATATGGTACTACGGACCCCAATACACACACAATAAGGTCCCATTCATATGTGTAGGTTTAGGTGCGATTTAGGGATTCCTGCATCAGGAACTTGCGTTTTCCTGCAGCAGGAATCCCTAATCTGGCGTTTACAAGCGGCCGATGTCACCTTTTCGAGTTAATGATCAGGTGACAGCAGTTGCATGGATACTCCATGTAATGATATGTGATACTATTACATGCGGTTAGAAAACACTCTCCCTGGATGCACAATCATTGAGTCCAGGGAGAGTGATTGATTCCTAACCGAATGTAATCCTATCACGTATCATTAAGTGTGGTGTGCCGGCGTTTCCATGCAACTGCTGTCACCTGATCATTAACTTGAATAGGTGACAGCTGCCGCTTTTAAACGCCAGATTAGGGATTCCTGCTGCAGGAAACGCATGTTCCTGATGCAGGAATCCCTAATTGAACCTACAGATACAGGAGTGAATGGAGTCTAATACACTT